TCACATTGCCTCTCTTCTCTTTATTCTCCTGAAGTCTGTAAAACTGAATTCAGAAAGAATTCAGACATGCGTCAGTCAGAGCGCAGTTAAGAAGAAGAGATCTAATTAGACAAAAGAAGTAAAAACACCTGTGTGGGTGGACCGTTGCTGTGTCAGGGCTTTAAGTTAAATGTGAATTAGTTCTGTGCCTGTGTCAAAACAGACAACTAAAAAAGTGGTGAAGTGTGCATAGAGTAGTTGAAGTTCTTTTGTGTCTGCAGGTGATAAATTAATCTTTTCAATCTAAGGCAGATGCTGGCATTACACTACAAAGAGCTTTTTCAGCTATTATCACAAATCTCCAAGGCAACATCACACATGTATGTAGCTGAGTGCCGAGTACCGAGTAAGAACAGGTGCTTTTGTTTAGTTTTTCTTTAGATTGATAGGTTGAGACATTAATTGAAACATTTTCATATGTATCGATTTAGATGTTTTTTTTACTCTTGGTGCGTATTTACCAGGATATACTGTACCATGTACTATGCTTTTGATAGCATTTTAAAATTGGAAAGTGTTCAGTGCTTATTATCTAGTAATTGCTAGTCAACTATTTTTTGTTTTGTTTTGTTTTGTCAGGTTGTGCCATTGTCACCAAAGGTGTATTTAATAACATTAATAAGAATTTCAGTCTATTTAGTTCCACTGTTCTGGTCTTGTCCATACCAGCGTTCTCTCACATGGCCTACTGGGACCATAGACTGTATATTAAAATGGACATAGCCTCCCTGACATCACCCAGAGTGGCTTTGAAGCTGAGTCAGCTGCTTTGTTGTCACCAATTATACCCAACTTTAAGCCAAATATTTAAATGGGTGAGTTGAAAACAAAAATCACCACCTGTACAGTTGTCATTAAGGAGGAAATTAGCTATAGAGACAAAACTGTTTTGTACCAGGCTGTAAACAAGTTTTTTTATTTATTTTTTAACATGTGAGTCTATGCCGATTGACTTGCTTTTGGAGTCACCCTCAGGTGGCCATTCAAGGAACTGCAGTTTTTGGCGCTTTCTTGTTAGCTTCATTTTTCAACCCTGGAGGTTGCCGCTTTACTAGGACACTTAAATGCAACATTGTCATTATTAAATGTGCATTAACTGACTTTTTGGCCACTTGGGGGCAGGGCAACAATCTCTAACCAAAACACTGACATACAGTATAAACTTATAGTTGTTATGGCAAATGTTTTAGCAAATTTACACATTCAGCAGACATCGAGCAATATTAGCATTCATTTGGAGTCGTGCTCCAAGCAACCAGACAAAGGTAAGTCCAGTGTGCAGTCTGCACAAACTCCTGAGGGAAATGGCTCTTCACCAGCAAAATAGCTAGTTGCTTACTTGGTCTCTCTGCCATTCGGTGGTTGGAAGCAAATAGTATATATTGTGTTTTTATCAGAACTTTTTAGCTGGAAATAGCTGTCTGCTGTGGCTGGAAATTAGTTTGAAGTGCCTGGTGAAAATGTACCTGAAAGTTAAGTAAAACAGAACAGTTTGCTAAACGCTCCACAGAGTCATAACAACAATTATTTGACTAATTTGATCCGTTCTTAATTTAAAAAATACTGATTAGAATAGGTTAATGTTATTCATTACACCTGAGCTCTTCCTGTACAAATGCTAAAGAAATCCAATATGGCTGTCAGTGTTGCACCATATTATAGTAGCATTATTAGTATTTGAGATTTGCTGCTCGCTCTCTGTATGTTTATCTTTTCCTTTTATGTTTCTTCATCTCAATGGTGCTCTCTGAAGTTGAGCAACAGGTCCTAATGAACATTTTCAAATAAAAATGTATGAACCTGTAAACAGCTACTGCAATTAAAGTAATTATTAAATTTTTATAATATCAGCGAGGTGAATGCCAGTGCCTTCCGGTATTTACATAAGAGAACATAAACGTGAAATTAAATGTAAATCAACTTGGAGGGGATGGTGGTTCTCTCCCTGGGATGCAGTGGGAGATTAAATTCACATCTGCACACAGAGATGATAGACAGAAATGTAAATGACCTACTTCTACTGCAGGTCAGGATACCAGGAGATCAACCCACACATCGCCCAAGAGCATGTATGAGAACACATATTCATATCCCACTGCAGGATATGCACATGTGCTTTATTTCACACATAAGGTTTGTGGGCTGACCTCTGTGGGTAGAATGATTTATATGTATCTTGCTTGTGACCACATCTTTGACTGCACAAACACTGCAGTGCTGTATGTTCAGCTTTTTGGACAAAGAGCAAAAGAATAAATTCTGTCCTGTCATTCATGGCTACATGTTGAGACCACTGCTTAAGTGACTTAAGCTGCACTTTCTCTCATGTAACCACAAGAAAAGTGTGACTACAGTCTCTGCAGAAACTTTTTCCTTAAAATACAAAGCCAGTATTGTTTGTTCTAAACAGTAAATGTCACTTTTTTGAAAGTTTGTCTTGGTGGCCATTTTAAATGGAAACTGGAAAAGGAAACTGAATGCCTGTGCCACAGTCTTGTTGTAAATAGGATTACTAGTTTCTAATTAAAACATTAACCATTAAATTAAACATATTCAATCTGGCACTTAAAAATATATTTAGATGTTTATGGATGTCTCGTGTTAGTCACATGGTTATCAAACCCAAATTTAAAGGTCCCATATTTTACACTTTTCCTGTGATTTATTTTAAGTGTTGATCCATAAGAAGATATATTAAGATAAGATAGAATCAAAAAACATCTCAATGTTGTTTTACATCTCCTCTCTTAGGCTTCTCTCTGGAGCTCTAGTAACAACAGAGAGGAGGCTCTGAGCCTCTCTTCTGATTTAGTGCTATATTATTATTGCCATATATTGTCAATGTACAGACTTACATGACCAACTCCGTAATCACAGGAGTTGTGTGATGACATGATGCTTATAAGTGTCTTCCCCTGTTTTTCTACCATCTATGCTGGGCATAGTTTCTGGTTTCAATATTGTTTTTTCTACATACTGACTTAAATTGTCCGACAGTACAATGAAAAAAGTACTGTGCAATTGATAAAACTGGCCTAGACATATCTCCCATTATGCATTGCACAGACAGGGAAAAAGATCATTTTAGATGTGTGCCAGATGAAAGTTTGAAATAGCTGTTTGAATTTGCCATTTGATACTTTATTCTCCTCTATATAGAATTCCCTATATAGTGGGTAGTGATGTCTATTTTTAGCCATGCTAATAGCAACATTGCTCTATGGATGGCAGTGTCGGTCTGTTGGTTGGTCCACCACTTTACTACAGACTGAAATATCTCACAAACCATTGGACTGAAGGCCATTAAATTTGATACCAGTATCCATAGGGCCCAGAGGATAAATCCTATCAACTTGGATGATCCTCTGTCCTTTCCTCTAGCATCACCAGCGGGTCAAGGTTTTCACTTATCTTGTGAAATATTCCAACATCCACTGGATGGAATGGCACAACATGTTATACAGACATTCACACAGTGTGTTCTAATGTTTTTGGTAATCCCCTGACGTTTCCTATAGCACCTAGCAGATTCAAATTTCAGGTCTCCACAGCTGTTGGAGGGAATGCGATGAACTTTGATATCTTTGGATCTTTGGTACTTTTATATCCCCCACAGAATGGTTACTAATTACTCTGGTGATTCTCTGACTTTTACTGTAGCACTGTCATCAGGTCAGAATTTCAGTTTGTCCACCACAAATACCTAATAACCTAATGACTTTCCTGTCGGCTTCAGTTCTAATTGTGTTTAGAGTTAATGAGCTAATGTCACATTATCACTTTGACCATGTTAGTATGGTTGGTGTTATTAGCTCAAACCACCATGCTGTCAAAGTACAGTCTCACAGAGCTGCTACGACTTTAGATGCTTAGTCTTTTTATAATCGTCAAGGTTTACAGTTTAATCACTAAGGCTAAGAGGAGGTAGGTATTATTGCTACTTCCACAGACAAAAAAACACTGGACTGATTTCCTTGATCAGCTGTTTGATTAAAAAACAATATGTATACACCAATATATCCTCCAAAATGATAGTTACAGGATGACTAGCTCTTGACATTTAGATGTAGATATAATTTCCCATCAGGCATGAATCGGGTGCAGTCATCCCCTATATTTTGTCTGTGTTTGATTATACGGTTATCTTTGTGACCCAGCCCTATCTAATATCCCACGTTTTGTGGTGACGATATGAAACCTGAGTGTCAAAGTGTCCAGTGTTCTTAGCAATCTTAGAAATGCTTCAGCTGCACTGTCCTGTGTGTAGGCATGGTTTTAGATTGAAAATGACCCCCAGGTTAACATTACAGGAATGAAATACGAGTGGGGGTGTGTGATTGTGTACGTGTGTTGTCATAATAGAGGCCAGTTAAGTTCAAGTTTGATTAACAAGCAACACACCGATTTACACACACACACACACACCAAGTTGTCGTATAACTTGTTAACATGCCAAAACCTCACTAGGCTTGTTCTTGTGCCTGCAGATTTTTCTGAACCACATGTACCACAACTGCACATCTTTTACCTTCCCTTTTGTGATTAAACATATGTGTAGAAAAACTGTTTTTGTATTTGGTCCTGATGTAGGTAGCCGCTGTCCTTGAAACCACGTCTCTGAAAGAAACCTTTAAATGGCATCAATATGTCCCAATTATTGTGGTAAATGCAGAAAGCAAAAGCATGTGGACTGAATAACAAAGCTAGAAAATAAAGCAAAATTCAATCAAACTTTTTTGATGACTGGGTGCACCTATGAATACCCCTCAGTTTTTCATCTCCTTCAAACTGCATAACTTCTTTGTACTGTAGAATTATTTCTTTTCTCTTTTTTAATGCTCATTCACAAAGCTGTAAAACATACTGTAGTTCATCAAAAGCTTTGTTAAGACATACATAATCTATATATTTATAGCAGTGAATAACGTGTGCTCATCTCTCCCTTCTCTGTTTGTCCACAGCACAAAGACCCCTAAGCGGGCTGTGTTTGCAGGGAGCATGCAGCTGCTGGCTGGCATCAAGCTGTGCACAGGCAGAGTTCTCACCAACCACCCCCATTATGAAGATAAAGACCTGCGGGAGAGAACCAGACAGGTAACGTAGGCTGCACTATACTGTCAAACACACATAGGGGTGTGGGAACTACCACAGGGGCTGCGAGATAACAAATTCAATTCAAGACCGTTTGATGCTGGTTGTCCATCTAAGTTGAAAATTCACTAAAGCCCTTCCCTGAACATCTCAACAATTGTTGTGAACTATAACTCTGCACGGCAGGTCTGTCAAGGTCAGGCTTTCTCTACACGCTGAAATATTAGAAAGAGTTATTTTTGCCTTTTTTTAATGTTGTTTATTTTTATGCTATAACATAACTTGTAGGTTTTATGCAACATAATTTGATACAGAATAAAAACATCTCAAGAACAGCACAAAACACTGGTGCATGGAAAAATGTTATATATATACATAGTCGCTTCAGTAAGTATTAAGAACGCTTCTCCTATTGTTTTGTAGATTAAATTTTAAACTGATAAAATGGCCATTTTGACCGATCAATCCACACCCTACGCAAATTTATTAAAGATAAAAAACATAAGTCTATCATGTAAAAGATTATTCAGACCCTTAATTCAGTAATTTGTTGAAGCCCATTTGGCAGCAACAACAGCTTTTTGGGTAACTTTCTCGAAGCTTTGCACACCTGGATTTGGCCAGTTTATCCCATTCGTCATGGAAGATCTTATCAAGTTCTGTCAGATTTGGTGGCAACTGTCTATGAACTGCCAGGTTCCTCCACATATGTTCTCAAAACAGGAAGACCAGGTTGCAGTTCACAAAAACACAAAAAAAGAAGTTGGTAGAGGTCTGGAACACATTTTGTGGACTGACAAATGTACGACGACTGCAACCAAAGCTTTTCAGGGTGAAAAGTCAATCACCTGATCTTAATCTGTTATTCCACTTGCTGAACACTAGACTAAAGGCAGAGAGACCCCACAACAATAAAGAGCTGAAGGAGGCTGCAGGAAGGCTTAGGAGAGTATCATCAGGAAAGATGCAAAGCGCCTGGTGATATCTGTGGGTCAAAAGATTTTCCACAAAATATTATATATGATAATTTTGTTTGATCTCATATGTATCTGTTCAATTACTTAACTTTGGAAACTATGTATTAAAAAGCTATTTCTCCCACACAGTTCTTTTTAAATTGATGTAAACCTATTCAAATGAAAGCTGCAGGGATTTTAATGTAATATCCTTTTTTTTCCAATTGAATGTGCTGAAGCATGGAGCCTTATGAACAAAAAATGTGTAACTGTCCAAATACTTACAGTCTGGATTATACAGATCAGGTTATGGAAGGCATGTGGTGATTTTGTCAGATATAAGTGCATGTCGTCAGCATATAGACTTAGTTTTATGTTCTATTAATGTAGTCTGGAATCCAGTGATGTTATGTCCTACAGATTTCTGGTCTAATTTATTGTTGAGATCAATAGCAGGTTTTTTGGAATTACACAAAGGCTTCCATGTTCTTAAATAACTTTTTTGAGTAAATTGGTCTTTTTTGGTGTAATGTAGCATTCTTTTTACTCTTAAGGAGACCTTTTGAGAAAATGACATTTGGATACATTCTTAGCATTACTTGAAGCAGCACCTTTGGCTTCACTTTTTTCTTTTTCCACTGTCGGAGTTTGTCTTTCAAATTGTGCTGACTGAATATTAACAGACCATAGTGCAGAGAGCAAAGAACTCCGTTTGTGAACACTGGTCTGAAGTTAGTTGTGAAGTTCTGAAGTTGTCCTGGTGTGACTGTGGCCAGCTGTGCTTTCTCTTTTAGGAGGCTGTTAGATTTGGTTCAGGTGATAAGCAGGGCAGATTATAATTGGTCCAGTCTCTTAACCTCCTACTGTAGTGACTCTTCTCATAGCTCTTGTTTCTTTTGTCATATTATCTTTCCTCTCATGCAGCTTTAGCCGAGTCTCATAAAATATGAGCTGAAGTTTTAAGGGAAGGATGTCCACTCCTTTTAAAATAGTCAATAAAAGTCTTGTCTTCAGGTGTTATAATTGATATTATTGCAATAACAGTTTATCAAATGACGGTGTGAAGTGTGCCTCTATTGAAGGGCACCATCCCCCAATTGTGAAGGAACTGAGAGAGAATCATTAATTTTTGGAGTCCAATTAATCAGTCTTATATCAGATGTAGCGTACATACGTGGCCTGGCATCAGTCACAAGCCATTAAGGAAGTTCATTATAAGGACATGCAGAGTTGCAGACTCACAATTGACACTTTGCGACTCTTTCCACCATCAAACTATCAGATTGATAGGAAACAGAGACAAAGCTCTTCCACAAACAGACCATGCTGTTAGCATGGCCGAACGACACAGAACCAGACCAAAGATCAAAGGGTCAGCTCCAGGGGGTCAACCAATGGACACCAGATAACTGGAGAAGTGATATTTGATTGTTTCTTGTATAGGACAAGTAACAACAAAAAGGACTGATTAACACTAAGGTGTGAATCCTGGCCTGTCGGTGCCATGCATGAACACACACACACACGCACACACATCACACACACACACACCAACCTCTTCTTCCTCTGTCCCTCTCTAGATAAGAGTCATAAACTGCAACCCACATTCCAATCCTGGGTAGTGACAAGCAGAACACTCTTCACAGACACAGATCAAAGGATGAATGTAAAATTAAATATCCAACTGTTCCTAACTCATGAGATGTTCCTATGTAATAGTTTAATCCCGAACTTCTATCCCATAGAATGTTTGAAATGTAACATGTAGATTTTAAGACAAAGGTCCTTCATGTGACCATACTGTCAGCATCCTTCACACAACGTAACACACTAATGACATCCAGAATGTGCTATTATTATTATTACAGTCGAAGACTGCTGTGTAATCCATATGTATAGATTATTAGCTTTTGGGAAATGTTATATTATTGTTTGATCAATTAACCACTTGTATCATAATTAATTCCAGGTTTGAAGGAATGTAATATGAAATCAACACTCCTATTACTCCTCTCTGCTATTATTAGTGCAAGTAGTTTTATGTTTTTCCATCTAATGTTTTGTGGTCATGGTGGAAGAAGGATGTGCGAGTTCTATAAGTAACTCTAGAATTTAAATTATTCTAAAGTTCAATGGAAAATTACTCTCTTCTCCAAGTGGAAACACAGGAGAAAGATGGGGTGACGCCCATGAACATGCGCCAGCCCCCCAGGGGATAAAACAGTCGTGAACCATTCACACATTGCCAAAAGAAGCCAAAAGAAGCCCCTTTTTCTAGGGCCCAAAAAGCCCCTTTTTCTAAGGCCAAAAAAGCCCCCTTTTTCTAAGGCTATTTTCTAAGCCTGTTCAGAAGCCAAAACCAGGCCTAAGCCTAAATCAGGACGACAAGAAGATGCGAGAAGCGAGAAACGATGCAGAAACTAGAAGCTGAGAACTTTGCTCAAAGTCAGAGTCCCGGCTCAAAGCCCGGCTCTGTAGCCATGTAAACTCTTAGCTCTAAGCTGCTCGCTACAAAACTCATGGCTCTTAGTCATTTTGCACTTTTCGCGTCTTTTATTTTTCTTCGCCACAAGCTACAAGTAACATGATTTTTGTCTACATGCGCGATCTTTATTTTTATAAGCCAAGTCAAGACCAACTGAACCAAAGCAACAGAAGTGGCTCAGAGTAATTTTGTAACTTTTAATCATCATCAAGTTTTCCTTTTTGAAGATTTTGACAAACTTTAGAGTCATCTGGTCAACGCCAGTCTCCTCTAAAGTTATCCAACCAAAGTGAAGAGCATTAGAGTTTATTTCGCATCAACCCGCAAGAGACGCAGGCAGATAACATCTGCACGACCGCCTGCAGAGAAAGCTGAGCAGAAATCAAGAGTTCCCGAGACAGAAAGTCTCCTGGACAAACTCCACCAGAGCTGAACCGCTGAGACACCGGCAGAATCCGTCATCGTGATAAACGGGACACGGCCTCCAGGAGAATCCACCTAGACCCCGCGTCTCCAGGGTTACCACGGCAACCACAGCCACCTGGGTTCCAGCCGAGGGTCTCCAGCTACAGCGCAACTCACAGTAGGCCGGTCTTAAACACTTGCTCATGACTGGGTTGATGTCGAAATATAGCAATATTTAATCATCAGACCTAATTCGTAGATGTAGTATCATTAGCTGTATAGTCATATGTATAGCATAAACATATTCTCTCCCACCATTGCCAACTCATCACACTGCTCATTCATTATATTATTTTCATCTTTATGATTATTACACCTTGCATTTACTCTGTACATAGTAGTTTAATTAAATAAACTCATTTATTTACACCCAGTTGTTGTCCTGTCGTATTCTTTTGACGTAGAGACTGGAGATCCATTGAATCGAGAAATCATGGCTTCCGATATGAGATTGATAAATTTGGCAATGAAGTAATTCATTGTTGTCCTCCTAGAGGACTGGTGCCCCATTTCAACGAGAGTAAATCATTAAATATAGCGTTAACGCTACACAGAAGCAGTGACTTCTTGATTTCATTCATCGCCGATCTCAAAGGGACGCACAGTGCAACACCGGGGTCAAGTTAAAGATGTTTATTAACTAATCCACTAACACAGAGGAAATGCAATGTCTGATAACCATAAAGGTATAAACTGAAGCAGTTGATCACTATTATCAATTACCTGGTGATATGTGATAGGAGGACCTGGGCGATGGGGGAAGAGAATAAGCTTCTCTTATGTATAGCACACTTATTACTCACAGTTACGGAACTGTTTACTGCTGAAATGAAAGCTAAATGTTTATTTCGACATCAAACCAGTCAAGAGAGAAGTGTAGATGGAGTTGCCTATTTTGCGTTGTGCTGCGCTGTGGAGGCTTGAACCCAAAACAGCTGATGTTGCTGTCAGCAGTCTTTGACAGCAGACTCTGGGTGGATCCTCCTGGAGGGGTCGGCCGTTACCAAGGTGACGGGTTCTGCTGGTATCTCAGTTGTTTCAGCTTTAAGAAAAGTCTGCTAGCAGACTTTCTTCCTTGGGCACTCTTGAGATCTTGTTAGGTGATTCTGGGCAGGCATGTAGCCGGTGGGCAGGAGGTTGATGACAGAATAAACCTTTATTGTTTCTTGACTTTGTTAGATACCTTTAGAAGGAATTGGCAAAACGACACTAAAAACTTGACAAATGTTCTAAACAAAAATCAAACAAAGGAAACTTGGTCTGAGGGTAGATAACAAGGAGAACAAAGTGGATAAAAAGAGTATAGAAGTATGGAGTATGAAAGTGAAGGTAACACAGGCAAAACAAGGCAAGAGCATCATAGGATCTGGCTGTTTTATCCTCGGGCTGTGTTTCCCATTACACCTTTCCCTCTTTTTCTTTGTCTTGATCACAGACGAGAATAATTTTTTATAAACTTTGACTTGTTTACTTTAGCTTTATACGTGAATGTTGCATATCCTTCTTCCACCATGACCCACTTTACTTCCAACAAGTTGATAGCCTATGTGAAAATACATCAATGTCACATGCAACAAAACATGGATAAGAAAGAAACAAAGAAAATTCATTAACTAAACTGAAAATAACCATTTCTAACGCTATTAATAAGCGAATGAGGATACAGTCTCTTAATTATTAATAATAAAATGATACAAAAATAAATACAAAACTGTCTATTCCCTGGAGGACACAAAGTCAGGAGTGAGCCCTAGGTGGCAGTGTGGTTACATGGTAGATGCTAGAAATTTGGATTTTTATTTACGTCATGATGCTAAAATCTGAGGGATTTGTGTGACAGAGCTGAAAACTGTTCATTTTCATCATGTGACCACGGTGGAGTAGGAGGAGAGTGTAGTGTGGATTCATTGTTGACTTATTTTGACGTTTCTATCTTTGCCCACAAGCGTTTGTCGTCGAGCAATCAATATGCAACTCTCCCAACTGAGGACCGATGTGTGACAGTTCTGGCTGCCAAAGTTGCCGGGACTTCCGCTACTTTCTCTTATTTTCCTCCAGACGCTCTCCTTTCTGCTGCCGTGTATAGTCATGGTGTCGGTGAGTCTCAGGGAAGTTTTCACTGAAGTTGAAACATTTCCAGCTCGAGCAGATGTACCTCGTCTCCGTCTAAATTTGAGGCGCCCAGAGCAAATTTATTTAGTTTGTCCTCGTTCCTGTTTTGCTATTGACTTTGTTGCAACTATGCTGCCTCCAGATATCACTTTGTGCTATAAAATACAGCATTCAACACTTTTTATTGTTTTTTTGGTTGTAGTTTATGGCCAGTTAAGGTGTTATGTTATTATAATACTCCATATGACATATGGAGAGTATGCCACCAGACATATGTTATTTATATTCCCCAGAACATGTTCATTCTTCAGTTTGGTAAAATGAGCTGATTTATTTATTCAATTTTGTGAAAAATGAACAGTGACCCTGAAAACTGAAAAGTCAGACACTTTGCCATAGCACTGTAGCAGTGTTTAAATGTTGTTAAACATTATTTGACCTTTTATTTCTTTTCTTATTGTAGTAATGTGCAGCCTTTAGATATTATTGAGACTGGAATCAAACAGAATTTTCTGCCTTTTCCAGAGCCTGCTGTTGCTCTGATCGTAGCCTCTTCCCCACATGGAAAAAAACCTGTATTGTGCAACTGCAGCTAACGTCACCCATCCATCTCACTCAGCTCTGTGCTAATGTCTTACGTGAAAGACCAGGGAATTGTCTGTAGATGGGGCCAGTGACCTGCAGTGATTGTGTGAATGAATATAGGATCAGTAGATGCAGCGAGTATAAGGTGCATCCATTAAGTCAGGTTGAGTAGTAATGTAGGAAAAATGGAGCCTAAAATGCTGTGTTCCAGTAAAGGAGAGATGAATGGTGGCGCTTGCACTCGAGTGCATCTTGGTAATGTATGTAATATAATGCGGATGCAGAGGGTTTTCACTCTCATTAATGGAGGAAACCACTTTTCAAAACAAGCTGAGTAGTTGCAGTGTTTCCATTTTATTCACATTATTTTACCAATTAACTGACATTTTATATGGTGTTGTGTGTACATTTTTTTCCAACTCAAATTTTATTTGTCTTTGTTTGTGTGGATTCTCTTTGGTCTTTGTGTCTTTTGCTTCCATTTGTTCTTCACATGCCTGTTGTTATAGTTGTCCATAAATATGTGTGTTGACAGGATCATAAGACTGACACCCAAAACACTGATCACAAAAACTTCTCCAAGCTCAAATATGCTATAAACATACAACTGTTACTGTTATCCGCTTGTGTCTGCTTGTGCTTTCTGTGTGTCTTCTTCACAATGAGCAGGAAGTAATGTGTGGGTCATTTCTTGCGTAGCTGAGCCTATGTTTTGCCTCCCAGCGGGAAGTCAGCCATGCTGAGCCGTTGGCGAGGCCGGAGCTTAGTGTGGAGCTCATTAATGATCCACGACACTGGTGCAGACCTTCTGGGCTCTGAGAGTGTGTGTGTGTGTGTGTGTGTGTGTGTGTGTGTGTGTGTGTGTGTGTGTGTGTGTGTGTGTGTTATTGAGGAGCTTAAATCCCAGCTTAATTTGTGTTTCACTACAAAATAATTCATTAGTGGAACAAGAACACAGCTTTTCTTGTCACCTATGTGTTTTATGCTCTTAATTCACAGACCTAGCAGGCTTACATGCTGTACTGGGAGCAACAGGTTTAAAGTTTCATCCTTGTGTGTTAAGAGTGTGTGAACAATGGCGCAAGTACACTCTTAGTTATGGGCTGTTGTTGAGTGTGTTTTGTCCCAATAAATGTGTATTTTATATTTGTGGGTTTGAAGGATAAGGTTGTGTTATTCCATATTTTTTTGTTCTGGTCAACAAATCCCATGAATTAGTCCATCTCTCAATACTGATATACTACTTACTTTGTCTGTGACTGCAGCAAGTCACTGTAGTCTTAACAACCATTAACTGAACAGGATGAAATAGTGAATTTGTTGGGAACTATTTTCATTGGTGAATTAATACACAGATGGTGCTCTAATGGGAATATAGTGTGACTAAAACTATTTAATTATTAATAGTTTGAGGATTCATTTGTTAAATTTCAAGCCCTATCCGACTGAAAATAATCTGGCTGATTAGGCTCATGCACATAATTTCCAGTTATTGTGCCATGTTTCTAGCTCACTACAGCTGAAAAATGATATTAAACAGAAGCAAAGACAATAGAACTAAAAAAAAAAAAAGGTTTAGATTTTTACCAATGTTAGGTATGGCTGCTAAACATGCTAAACATCAGCATGTTGGCATTTTCATCGTGAGCATTTTAGCATTTAGCCGAGGTGTTGGTGTAGAAACTTGTTGGATTGTCTCTTCAGTAATCCACTCTTCCTTTCAACAAAAACCCATTTAAAGTCTACTGTGCTGAGTTTTATCCCTGATAAACATCTGCAGGAGAAAATTCTGTTCCTCTGTACTTGCAGCTTACATAATTTGTCCATTTAAACCTGCTGTTGTGTGAAATTGGTCAAAAGATGTCTTTCATCTGTTCCACATAAAAGATGAACCACAACAGATTTCAGAAAGCTGAGTTCTGTTCTGGTAATTTTTTTTTTTTTTCTCCCTCTGATTTTTGTTTCACTTCTAATTGTTTTCAGAGTTTTTCTGGAAGCATGTTATAATTGAATCAAACCAACTTCCATCAAAACTCTTAATTCAAAGTAAATGTGCCTGGTAATTGTGTTCCAGGAGAGAAGTTTTCTCCTTCCAACAATATTGGTGTTAAATTATAAAGCCAGATGATCTTTAGGCAAAAAAGCAATCACACAAGCGCACACAAACCTAAATAAATCCACTTGTCTTCTTCTCTGTGTGTGTGTGTGTGTGTGTGTGTGTGTGTGTGTGTGTGTGTGTGTGTACGTGCATGTGTGTGTGAGCAGGTGTATCAGGTGTACGGCCGTCGCTCCCCGGAGGAAGTCCATGACATCCTGAAGGCTGTCGGGGCCGACTACGTGGTGCTGGAGAATAGCATCTGTTACGAGCGGAGGCACAGGCGAGGCTGCAGACTGCGGGACCTGCTCGATCTGGCCAATGGACACGTGGGTGGCATTTATTTAACACGACTCATTGTAACTGTGTGTGTTTGTGTTACTATGTTGGTGGGGTCGGGAAACTGGGAGGCCACGGGAACTTTGTGGGGATCAAAATGCTGGACCCCACAAATTTAAAGGGCTGTTTGAGGGTTAGGGTAAGGGGCTAGGACAGGGGTTGGCAAGTAAGTTTGACCTCTGGCCAATGTTTTTTCTTATCCATTAAATGGCGGGCCAGAAAATAATCAAAGGCTAATCTAAGATATTGATAAAAATGCAACTGAAATTTACTTTTACTGTTCACATATGTGGCGCTGTGGCCCACAGTCACAGATGGGGGTGGTAAAGAGATGATATGATAATCTTTTTGGCCGGAACCACAATCCACGATCTTGCTCATCATCTGCATTCTGGTTCCGCTCTGATCTTATTCTGAAAGTCCTGACTGGAAGTTGTGATTCCTGACTTTCCGCTGCTTTGACACTTCTTTCGGATGTTGGTCAGCTCGTCCACCCACAGTCACAAATTATATGTTTGACTGACTGATTTAGTGTTATTTTTTTCATGTCACACATTGTATGTCCTCTCCGTCCGAGGTTTGTCAAGCAAGCAATAGAACCTTTGGAACTTCCTTTCAGAACATTTCAGAATAAAAGCTCACAATAGCTTGAAATAAAGCATTGCAGCAAAAAAACGGACTTTTTCTCGAGCTTTTCTATGATTCTGTGGGTAACTGTTGCTGCTCAGACGGAGAGCTATTTTAGCAACAGAGATCTATTTTTTTTAGATTAAAAGAAAATCATATGATCAAAATAATCTGACAGGCCAGATATTAATGACGCCAGTTGCCGACCACTGGGGTAGGGAATGCATTATGTCAATGATGGATGCCCACAAAAATAGCTGTACAAATATGTATGTGTGTGTGTGTGTGTGTGTGTGTGTGTGTGTGTGTGTGTGTGTGTGTGTGTGTGTGTGTGTGTGTGCGCGCGTGTGTGCGTACGCGCACACATGTGTGTGTGTGCATGCGTGCACCATCCCATCTGCCAGCCTCTGTGACTAGGTGAAAACCTGTCAGCCTCTGCAAAGATCAATAGTCTCACTCCTCACTGTCTCTCACTCTCTTGCTGTCCCTCTCTCTTTCATTCCGCAGCCACCCCCCTCAAACTCCCTCCATCTCCCCCTTATTTTGATGTCGGATGCCTTGCACTGGCTATTTGGATTACTAGAGGCGAGACAAGCTTCAATCTGGCTGTCTGGCTCAGTGTGGTGTAAGACACATGAAACACTGGGTTGATGTTTGTGTTTGTGACGCCGTAAATGTCACACAGCATACACCACACCTGAAGACAGCTTTATTGAAGGAATGCTGGGTGTAAATCCGTTTCTTTCTTTCTTTCTTTCTTTCTTTCTTTCTTTCTTTCTTTCTTTCTTTCTTTCTTTCTTTCTTTCTTTCTCTAATCCAGAGCCCTCATCTTGAGAAACATGGTATTAATATAGAGAATAAAAAGCAACCCCTCAAAGGGATAAGGCCTATAACTAATGGATGGATTTCAAACTCCTTTTTTACACAATATTTTACAAACTCCTGCTCCAGCTGTAATGGATATCAAAGTTCAAACCAAGAAAATATCAGAATTCTCTCCTGCTGCTGCGTCTGTCTTTTCAAACAACAGGTGGTCCAAATTATTGACTTGAATAAATCTAAAAGAATTTGACTTTACTTTGTTTCTGCACATTTTATGTGTTTTACTTTATGGTTATTTGGTTGAGGTAGTAGTTTTATATAGAAATGTAACAACTCAAAACAGCTTCTAATTTCTGAAAATTAAATCAAAGGCCAAGTGTGGTTTTTAAAGCCCCTGAAAATTTCGTTAAACTAAGTATAACATAAAATATTCATGATGAAATGAGCAACGATCTTTTGAACTTTGTTTGGAAAGCAGCTTTAGGTTTTATTTATTAAGAGCTTAACAGTCAAAAAAATCAGCTACTCTGCTTCATCAGGATGATTGGCATCGTCCTGGAAACATAAGCAAATCACATTTTGATTTAAAGTTTGCTTCACAATGACCAAGCACCCCTCTTCCAAATGAGTCCATTTGGAAAGAGAGAAGGGAGCAAGAACAAAAACTTTGGCAGAAAATAATTCCTTTAATACTGATGATCAGCATCTCATTCAGTTTGTAGTTTTTTGTTTGTTCTCTACAAAACCAACAGATTTATTTTTTGATAAGGCTGAAAAAACATTTTCTAGTCTTCACTGCTAGTTTCATCACGGCTCACATAAAACAGTCCATCACCCGAGCGTCTCTATGAGTAGCTGAAGTTGTTACAAAGTTGCACTTCTTTACATTCAGTCTGGGGGCAGAATCTTTACATTGTGTTCACAGAGAGTGTGAAGTTAGGTATTATTTCTAATTCAAAAGTACTAGCAGACATTTTATCAATATAGCAATCAATAATAATCATTTCAAAAACCTCAAAAACCTGATGTATTGATTGATGATCAGAGGTGGACAAAGTACACAACTCCTAGTCAAACATTACTCCAATACATCTGAAGGTAGTTCAGTCAAAGTTTTACTTGAGTTAAAGTACTGGAGTACTTTCTTTTAAAATACTTAAGTATTCAAAAGTACATTTCTTTATGTCAATGCATTGTTGTATCCTAATGACTCTGGATCTACCTACTGCTGACTGACTGTAAATAAACAGATGGTGGATTACAATAAATAATATAATAAATGTAATATAATATAATATAATATGATATAAAGATGATAGAAATGTCCATAAAAACACAATTGAATCAGCAAAAGCACAACGTAACTGCTACAATCTATCTGTTTAAAAGTTTATCTGGAATTAAATTAAAATTACCTCGACATGTTTTCTCAAATTTTTTTAGGCAGTGATGTTTGGTCGTGTTGAACACAGCAAACATTTAAAACTAAAGGAATCTTTCTTTATTTCTAAAACTTCAAACATGGACTTAAGATAAGGCCCTGGGTGCTCTGGCTCAGAATCTCCTGCCTCATGTTTGTCTCGTAGCCATCGTTAGGACACTGACAGGTTCAAACTGAGCCGTTCAAAAACACAGCAGCACCACATGACTGACAGTGTCGGAGTTAGCTGTGATTGTTTTTTCTCCTATGATGAACACAGTGTACGGCCTATTGTATTTTCTAAATAACAGAAAATTAATTCCACGGAAATATAGTGGAGTCAAAAAAATAACACTCAAGTAAAGTAACTTGAAAATATACCTAAGTACAGTATAGTAAATGTTCTTCATTACTGTCTTCATTACTGCCTGATGAATATACATCATTGTTAACCTTCTGCCCTTCTTGTCGCTGTTGATGATGTCATGCTCATCCTCCTCTCCCTCTGTACCATCAGATCATGGATGGACCTGGAGAAAACGACCCAGACCTTGTCCCCGCCTCCCACCCTCGATTTTGCGAGGCCATCAAGACGGATGCAGCGGCTTACAGCGCTCTGTTCACCAGAACATTCCACAACAAAACCTTCCACGTGTACCGGGTCAAGAAGAAACGCAAGAAAAGCACCAAGAACTCGTCAGAGCCCAGCGCGACTCTGTAGCCGGAGCAGGGCTGTAAGAAAAAAAACCCCGTCAGAGGCCAGAGAGAAGAGAGACGGAGAAGAAGAAGAAGAAGATAAAAAGCACTGAATCCACGCTGTTCCTCTGTCTCCTCTCTGCACCGCGCCCAGCTGTGATCATGCCTGTTATTTTTTTTTAACACATGGCTCTGTGAACTGTGGTGTCAGAGCAGTGGGCCAGTTCAGGCTTGGGGCAGCGCTGTTTTAGTTAGAGAGGTGTGGAAGCACCTGTAGGAGTACTGCTTTGGGTTGTTCTGTCTCCATCTGTCCACCTGCTCTCCTCAGGGGTCTGAACACCACAAGCAACTACTAATCGTTTAGTTTCATTCGAAATAATCATCGTTTTTTGCACAGAGCATCACGAAATGACCAAAACACAGAATTATTGTTGTCTCGTTCATCCAGAGTCGGCTCAGGGTTCAGTAACATGTTTCTAGATCCAGCATCAGATCAGAGTCCTTAAAAATCTTTCATCAAACTTTTAAAACGGTAAAATACTCAATACACTGTGATAGAAAGCTTATCCGCATATGCAGTGTATATTACATGTTTCCTATTGGGATCTTCTTTACAAATTAAAATATGGAGTGAAAATAAAAGATTTGCTGAAAGATTCTGTGGAGTTTAACAAATGTGGGGATTTTGAACGACTTGGAGCTGGATCCAACATGGCTATTGGAACCCAACCTTAATTCACTATTTTTCTTTTATACACAAAACATTTGTTTGAAAGTGCAAGTTGCCAACGTAGTTCTGATGTATTTCAGTTCTTAAGGGTAGACATTTATAGAAATTACACGTAAAATAAGCTATCCAACTTTGGTAAATATGCACACTGCCAGTTATTCAATGTGCTTTATTTGCACAGTGTTGATTAAAACTGAAGCAATGGGCTTCTTCTTAATACTCCAACATTAGAAAAAGAAAAGAAGATGCCACACATCTAAAAAGCTAAGATAGCCTCCGCAATCCCCCCCAAAGGTCAGCGTTGTCAAGACGACTTCTTATTGGTAAAAGGCGTAAAGTTTGTGGCACATGGATTTATTTTTAGCATTCCTGGGATTGAATCCACCAATTCTGGCGATTCTATTAAAATTCATTAATTACCCAGAATCACCCAAAAGCTTCTGGTGTGTCTGGGCCTTTATGATTTCATCCACGACACTTTTACACCTGGTTATTTCTGTTTGTTTAAAAATTAAGCATCAAAGTTCAGACCATGAAAAAAAGTAGTGCGACAAGACAATCCCAACTCAAGGTCCACTTACCAGCTTTTTCAGATCTGTCAACCATATCAGTCTTCTCAAAGTGCCATGAGTCACATAGATCCATCCATGTGGGAGTAAACTCCATCCACCAATGAAGACTCTGCGATAGGCTCGAAGCTCCAGGAAAAAATAATAAGTTGAACTTTACTTGGGATTGTGTTGATTGTCAAACTACTATTTCTTTCAATGCTTATTCCAAACTAGTATTTTCATATTTGAGTTTCTAATAAAAAGAAAAAAAAGAAAAAAAAAAGAAAAAGAAAAGAAAAAAAGCACATTACTCACAAAAACTTGACTGTGTTGTACTGTCCTGTGTGTGCTTGAGGTATATTTCCAGCTGGTGGAGTTTAAAGGACCAGTGTGTAGGATTTAGGGGGATGGTATATAATGTTCATTGTTATGTTTGTGTAATTTTGTTTGTGAAACGAAGAATCATTGTGTTTTCACTAGCTTAGCATGAGCCCTTCATATCCGCACAGGGAGCGGGTCCTATTCCCCTTCCTCTCTAGCACTGCCATGTTTCCACAGTAGCCCAGAACGGACAAACCAAATCTCTGGTTCTAGAGAGGGCCCTGCACGTTTTTACCTGAAGGCCACCGTAGCTTCTACTCCGCGCTTGGAAAGGGAGGGGTGAGGGGAGGGGAGAGGGGTATTCAGTTGGTTGCAATCTGCAACCTCACCACTAGAGACCAATAAATCCAACACACTGGCCCTTAAAGAAGGAGAGAAAGCTGCAGGGTGTGGTCTTACTCAGCTGTAGGATCTGTTGCAATAAGTTTGACCATTAGCTTGTCTCAGCCTGGACTGAGATCAGTTGTCACTTTTTGGCGAGGCACATTTAGCTCTGCAGTGATAGATGTTGTCAGTTACCCCCCCGAAAAGAAAGACGGAAATAATTTTGTTAGTTTCGATTCCCCCCGCCCGGGTGGAAGCGGGTCCCACCGCTGCCTAAATGTGTTTTTGCTGTAAAACTGAGGTCAAAGCTGGTACCAAGTGATATTTGTGACAGTGTTGTTGTGATTGCTGTCATGTTTTTCTTTCTGTAGTCTCTGTGATTCTCATCAGCAGCAGCCTCAACCTTTTCATTCTCTATTCTCTCTCTCTTTCGCACACACATACATACACACACACACACACACACACACACACACACACACACACACACACACACACACACACACACACACATGAATAATGTAAGTGGCAAGGAAATTGCAGCAGGCTAACAACAACGCTGATTCCCCGCCGCAATCCAAAATAGTTTGTGAGAGTGAGGGCCAACACTTGCATATCAAACTGAGGCTTTGTGGTTAGAAAAGAAAGTGGGGGGGTGGGGGTGGGGTGGGGGGGGGGGTGTGGGGAGCGGCAAGAAGCTTCATGTTTAAACAACAGCAGAGGAGCAATGAGAGCGCATCAAAACATGGATTCACAATGATCTGAACCTCTTCCTCGTTTTCTTTTTCTTTTGAACCAAAGGGAGAGCAGAGACGAGGAGAGGAGAGGAGGTGATTGAAAGGCTGGAGCCTGTGTCGATAATTATTGATTAGCTAGTCAGAGTTGCCTGCTACAATGAGCCGTTAGGTGGGTGTGACACACATATAAACACACTCCCCCTCCCTCATCTGAGTCAGCCTATATTTGTACACTTGTTAATAAGGACCTCTGTCTTTGATTATCCCCGCTCTCGCAGATGCATGAACACCCATGCACGCAGTTGTTGTGGGGCTTTTGACAACGTGTTGTTCGTTAACCGCACGGCCTCATTGTAATGCATATCAGTCGGATCAGTCCAGAAAAGCACTGCCTAACCCCCCACCCCCCAACCCCCATCCCGCCCCTTCAGCCTTCACATTGGATGTTTAATTTAGGAGATGTCTGATTGCTTTATTTGAGAATGAAGTGATTCTATTATGTTTGCCTAATAAGAATGTACTAATGTAATATTTTTTTTTCAGCATTGTTAATTTCCATACATATTGGGATTAGTAGTTCATTCGGAGGCGCACTGTCTGCCTATGGTTTTCGCAGTGAAAAGGAGATGGAGAAAGCCATTAACTTGTGTGCACGTATAGAATTGAGCTCAACCCTCCATTTAGCCTCATTTTGAAGAACTAGTAGATGTCGCTGAAACAAATGCAGCTACTTGAATTCAGATTTTTACTTGGGAAATGAATAGTCTCAGAGAAAGAGAGAGAGAGAGAGGAGGGGGGGGGTGGGGTGATTGTGATTTCTTTTATGCCGCATAAAGCAGAGGTCTTCGAGGTCTTCACTCTTCTGGGGAGGCTTTCCAGCAGATTGTGGGACCTGGCTGCAGGGATTTGTGAGGTTAAACACTGATGTTAGGTGATAAGGCCCCAGCTCTCAGATGCTTTTCAAACTCTTCCAAAACTTGTGGGATGGGGTTGAAGTGAGGGCTCTGCGCAAGACCATTCCATTTAAAAAGGCTACAGACAAGTAGTAAAGAGTCTGTGTATTTTGTTACACATATAGTCGAAACCTTTTTTTTTAATGCCAGTGTTAGTTATAAGACACATCCATGTTCAATGGCAGTACGATAAATAAACGTATTTTGGCCATGAAGCAGATGGACACAGCAGAGACTGATGCATTTCACATTTGCCAGTTAACATTCAGCTTTCGTGTGTTTTTGATCATGTTGATGCTGAAGCTTGGGTAAAAGATGTACTTAGATTTAATAGTTCATTTCACTGTAAGATGATTTTTTATTAATGATGAACTGCAGTTACGCTGCATGTGCCAGTCGGAGAACAAGCATCTATACAGATGCTTCTCAGAGTCAGTGCCATATATATATATATATATATATAAAAAAAAAGAAAACTATTCATGAATGTGAAATTTCCACATGGAGTATAAGGGTCTAACTAATGTGTGATGGCGCAACAGTTTGCTGTGCACACATTGGTACTTCAGAGGAGATGGACAGGGAACCTATGCACCTTAAAGGCTGCATAATTGTTAAAGGGCAGCTTGAGCATCATCATCATCATCCTCCTCCTCAGTGCAGGTACTGTTACATGCACAGTTTCAAATCCATCTACTTCTGGGTTTATTTGAAAAAGGAATATTGTATAATGTATGTGAGTGCCTATGGCTATTTCCTCCATTTTGCTCTGCTATTTCTTTCCCACGTCTCCACTGAACTCATGTTGTACCGCTGGGTTTCCCGCCGCAGGACATATTTCATATCAGAAATCAAAATGTTTACTCTGAAATTGTTTCCATGCCAAGCAAGCTATTAGTGGAAGTCATGTGTGAGATACCCGAACTGAGTTGAAATCTTTTCCGATGCCAGTGTTAGTTATTAGACACATCCATGTTCAACGGCTGTATGATCAATAAAAGTTTTTTTTTTTTCAACAATGCAATATTTTCTTGTTGATTATTATGTGAGATCAGAATACTTCATTTTCCATTTCTTTTAATCCATCAGTCTCTTTTTACAGACGCAGTCACGATTCAGCTCAGTCACTGGTGCAAATAAATGAATTTATTGAGAAAAAAGATCAAAGCAAAATACAAAACACTTACATAACTGTCCAGAGCTCATCACCATCATGATGATAGAAAAGATATGTTCAGTTAGATTTTCTTTTTCTTTTTTTTTCTCAGAAGCTGCACATTTTAAACCTATGGTGCTTTTTATTGGCAAAAAAGCAATAATTGTAATTAATCTATCTCTGTATTTACAAATGAGGTAAAAACATTAACTTTGTTCACGACTATGTCTGCACCCAGAACACAACATTTAAGAAGCTGTTTTATGGTACAAATGAACGGTGATGGGAAGTGAGTCGCTGCTCCCTCACAGCTGCAGAGAGAGAGAGAGAGAGAGAGAGAGAGAGAAGTGAAGCATGAAGCGTCTTCATCCTCCACCACTCTGCGCGGCGGCTCAGCTGCGGCCTCTCTCTACAGGAGAATAAAAAACATCCCGAGCTAGGAAATCCCCACTGTCTATAAAAAAAAAAGAAGAAAAAAGCCTATCAGGCATCATCCCACAGTGTACTGCACCCTCCCCTGACTGCCAAGTCTCTTATTTTTAAAAGCCACATTGTTGCCTCGGATTTCCACAAAATAGCATGTTTCTGGAAAGCTGCAATCTTGGGAATCGACTCTTCTGTTGACTTTTTTTTTTTTGAAAGTACCCGCAATCCTTTGGTTTTTTCCAGCATGACGGCAAGCCATCAGCTCCTATTAGGATTAGTGGCCTGACGTGTTTTCACACATTCCTACCCTCTAAACGCTCTCTGCCGACAGGCTCGGCTCTGCCAACGTGAAGAGGAATAAAAAAGAGAAAAAAAAAAAAAAAGAGCTTGATGGGAGTGCTGCTGCTACTTCCAGCAGAATACAGCGCTTGAAATGCTGGGAGAAGCTAGGTTGGCTTTGCAGGAAGAAAAGGGGGCATAAAGGGGGGGGGGGGGGGGGGGGGGGCTGAGGACACACGACTTGTGTATTTATGCTGTTTGCTGTGCAACAAACCGTTTCTGCAGAAAAACTATTTCTCCCAGCATCTCTCCCCTCTCTACAGCTCCCTACGGAGCTGCTGAGCTCCATGGTGCACTGGTGGCACATTTCACCACAGAGCCAGGCACTTGTTAAGATGGTTCCTCTCTACCTCCTCTCCTCATTTGCCTTCTGATTCAACCCTCTACCCTGTAATCATCTCTCTTATCAAAGGTGAAAGGAACAGGTCCTTTTCAGGCTGGCGCAGCTCTTCCCCTTCGCTGTTTTATTATTGTTCTTTGCCTTTTTGTTCTTTTTTAGACAAATTGTTCTCACAAGCTTCCACAACTGCAGGAAGTATTTCTTTTTTTTTTTTTTTTGTTTTTCGTTTGGAGTTGAGAGGGAGAAACACTTGCCACTGTGCTGACGATTCACAGCTTGGATAATAACTGCAGCATTATTATTTCCCTGCAATTTTCTATCAGTCCATTTCCCCACAATCATAATTATAACACAGTTTCAGCCAAAGAGTGTGTGGTAATTTAGCAAAAGGGACAACAGAGAAACGAATGTTTGAGCTGCGTATGGCACAGGTATCACAGCTCAGAACTATATACGTATAATCATTATAAATCTCCTTCATCCTCTTCCTCCTCCCGCCATTTGTATTTATTGAGTAGTCACCTTGGAAAGCCATTTGACATTGTTTGTATTCTACTGAGCCATCGTCTGTTAAAATAGTCTCTTGCAGCTGCCACATTTGGTATGCCTGAGGAACTGCGTGGAACAGAGCAACAGAGCAAGTATTTCCTCCCTCCCGCAGTCCGCATGTCCACTCCTATTTCTTTGTAACGAAGCTGTTTGAATTTTTTTTTTTTTTTTCGGTGCACCCTCCCTCGGGTGAGAAGGAACGAGCAGCGGAGGAGCGTGAATGAGAATAGGAAATCAAATAAAGACGAGGGTGCAGTAGTAAGTAGAAAGCTTGATGTCTCACAACCCACGGAGCATTGAAACTTGAAACACCCAACCAATACAGAATTACTCGACCACATTACCAGAAAAAATAAAAAATAAACAAAAAAAATAAAAACCTCACCCTGCAACCCAATGATGGCTGAAGCACTTTTTTTTTAACTCATACAAACATTGACGGAAGCTGTGTACAGCCAGGCAGCGAGAACACTATGTGTCCACAATATACTGAAAATCCAAACTGTATTACACGGGCTACTCAGTATGATCCCACTCATCTTCACTGTCTCGTCATGGAACAGCGCAAGTGTGGGATAGATATGAGTCCTTTGTTTATTTACAAAGATTTATTTCAGCCACAAGATCCTAAAAATACATTTCATGTGGTACTGGTTCGCTCAGGTGTAAAAAAAAAAAAAAAAAAAAAAAAAAAAAAAACTAAACCTGGCCAACCATTATATATTTCACATTTTAGGCCTTCAGCTGACACTCATCCAGAGCAGCTCACAATGAATGTTAGAAAATAGAGGAAATTTGGGTTTTTACTGGCTGTGACTGGAACAGATTTTTCTGACAGTGAAGCTAAGCTCCATCATGATGAGTAGCCTGGGTGGAGAGTTACGTTCTAAACCCTTTAACCTGACTGGCAGGTTTGATAACGTCTGCTCCTACAAAAATCCAAGGTAGAGGGAGCACAGAGCGACAGGCTCTTCTCACAGGGACACGTTCATCTGTCTGTTAGGCCACCGCGTTGATTGATGGGCCTCATCATCCAGTGAATACAACACCTTTCGTGTGAGTTGTCAGCAGATGCAGGGTGTGGAGCGAGTCTCTCTTGTCAGTCAGCCTCTCGCTGTTTTCCCGCCTCGATCACTGCTAAGTGTCTGCTAATTGATTGTTGCGGGCGGGCCGGTTATCGGGGTCCCATCAGTTTGAGTGTCTCGAGCTCAGAGGTCACTGGCCTCGGCTCGCTCGTACAGGGCCCGCAGCTTCTCGAAGCGAGGCCCCCACTCCCCGAGCGTCTCCTCCCTTCTCGCCTCCCCTCCCCCTCCCCCGTCTCCGCCGCTCCCCCCGTCCAGCCCCGCCGAGCTGAAGGAGCTGAGGGACCCGGCGGGCGAGCCCCCTCCCTCGGTGGAGAAGACCTGCAGGGAGTCGAAAGGCCCCGTGTCTGGATGCTGGTCGGCATCGCGGATGATCTCGCACAGGTAGCGGGCCAGGTCCTGGCTGGAGAAAGACAGGGAGCGGCGTGCCAGCTGGGAGGGCCGCGCCTGGCCCTGGGCCGGGAGTCTGGTTGGGGGGACGTCCCTGCGGAGGCTGGTGGTAGTGGTGGCGGTCGAGGAGGTGGAAGCCACTGAAGGGGGCAGGGTGGTGGAGCTGGCTGTCCGACTGAGAGAGTCCAGCGGCTGGGTGGAGGGCGGGGCGGGGGGCGCCTGGTGAAGCAAGTGATGGTGGTGGTGGGGAGGAGGAGGGTGGTGCAGGGCTCTGGAGCGGCAGTACTGGACCGACTGGGCCGGGCTCGGCTGGAGGGACTTCTGCAGCTCCGCCATGTCATAGGCATTCTGGACACACACACACACACACACACACACACACAATGCAAAAGCAGAAGACAAGTGAGAGAAAGACTAAATGTTTTGAGGAGAGATGAGGCAGAAAAAAATGAAATGCGGCAGCGAGAGAGCATAAATGAAAAGAGAGCAGAAAAACAATCAGCTCTCCCCATTACGTTTACTGTGAATGTTCCACCTATTTAAGTTTCCAATCTATCTCCATTTACTGTCTCACAGAACTCATCGTAATTTTGAGTAGACCGTCTATGTGAGAGTGTATGTGTGTGTGTGTGTGTGTGAGACCAAGAGGATAAAAAAATAGTGTGGAGTGGAGATGATTCAGACAGGAGATGAAGGGCGTCTCTCTTTCTATCCATCTCTTATACACGGATGCATTGGGGGTTTAGGAGCTGCCATTATTTCCACATATAGTGTATCCAGTCACTCCAGTACTAATGTGATTCCACCACAACTGTAACCACGGCAGCAGAGACGGAGAAAAAACACAGGGGGATGTAGGAGGAGGAGGAGGAGGAAGAAATGATACGCAGAGGAGGAGGTGTGGGTTGCTTTATAAAACTGATTATGTGATGAGTGGAAAGTGCCGTTTTTATTCCTCAACAGACCTCAAACAGGACTCTTGAGGATTCACTCCTGCATCTGCTCCGCTATAGGGGATCAGGACTCTGTGTGTGTGCATGTGCATGTGTGTGTGGGTATGTGTGTGTAGTTTGTATTCAATGTTGATGAAGTTACTTCTTAAATGTAACAGGTTACAGATGACTGGTTAGCCTGTTATAAATACAATATGGAATGTAACTGTTTTAATTACTTAAACAAAGTAATGTAATTGATTACATTTGATTACTTTTCAGTAGCATTCAATTAGTCTGCTGGTGCCCTGTAGAAATCTCACAACCCCATGACTTGTCCATGTTAATATTTAATGAAAACACCATGCTGAAGTAAGTTAGAAATGCAAAAAGATGCAAAGCAACAGAATGAATATTTCATTCTAAATGTGAAGAGAATATACTCATATGTAACCTCTTTGTAATCACCGACATTTTGATTAGTAACTGTAATTTAACTACATTTATTTTGGTACCTTTATTTTGTAATTTAATGATGTAACCCCGCTAACATGTAATTAGTTACTCTCCAACACTGTGTGTATGTGTTTGACTGCAGGTGATTTAAGTACGGAGGACAAGACCTTGAGGGGTTTCTGGTGTGATAGTAATCTGTGTACGTACGGGTCTTTTTTCAACTCTGCGTGTGTGTGTGTGTGTGTGTGTGTGTGTGTGTGTGTGTGTGTGTGTGTATGTGTGTGTTAGCATACATAGTGGCCATGTGTGTTTGTTTCAATAAAAGCCTTGATATTATGCAAGCTCTTAAGAGCTGTTGAGTGCTCGTGGGTTACAGTGGCTTTTGGAAAGAGGAGATAAGGATTTTGTGTGGGCCTAATTAAAACGCTAGGGCGCACGCACACACACACAATCACATGCACGCACACGCACACACACACACACACACACACACACACACACACACACACACACACACACACACACACACACATTGTGGAGGTTTTCACCCTAAATTTAATAAACTGAATCCATTCTAAAGCTGCTACGCTTGCAGTCCAGCGCTAAGTATTTTCCAAAAAGAAATGGGAAAAAACTTTTAAAATTGTGCAGTTTAAAAAAAAAAAAAAAAAATCACCTTCATGCAGATGCACAGAGTACAGTACAACAGTTATTTCATAGTGAGTACACATTTAGCAGTGTAAACCTGCTAGCAATGTGTTTCTGTTTGTGTGCTTGCATGGAAAAGTGAGTGTAGCCATACCAGAGGTGCTTTTGGAACTTCCTTTGTTAGCTTTAAGAAAAGGAGAAAGGTGTGTGGTGTACCTGATCCTCCTCCCCGCCTCCCTCCTCGTCGTAGTTGAGGACGTTCTCTCGGATGTCCTCCCACCCGTCGTGGTGGGCCGAGACATGGTACACGCCCTCCTTCAGCCCTTTGTAGCTCCTCCAGCGAGTGTAGAGGAAAATGCCCAGCAGCAGCACTGCGGTTGAGACAGACAGTGGTGGAGGTTCATCAGCACAGGTATTAGCATTACAAATTAAGTGATTAAGATCCATCAGCCAATTAAGGCATGGCCGCAGAGAGAGGGATTCTATTTAATGGAGTAGGCCTTGAGTGCCATTTGCCAAAAAATGTGAGCTGAAATACGATAAGTTGTGGAGTTCATCTGATAATGATGCTTCAGGTTTCAACTAACAATTTTATTTTATTGCTGATATTTGACAAAATATATTTCAAGGATTCCAAGGAGTGTTTCCAACAGAACTTTTTACTCCTGTCATCTGTTACTTTGCACATATCTCCCATCAACAACCTTCTAACTAACGCCCCCTTCTTCTATAATCCTATTCCATTTACTGGTGGAGTAGAAAAGTCAAAGTCACATGTTGACATGGCAAACAACGTTAGCTGCCAGTTGCCAACTCCGGCTGATACAGAGCAACATTAGAATTAATTAGGAGTTGTATTTCTGGCCACCTAAATGTAACATTCACCCTCCTTTTATCTCTGTTTTAGTTTCCACAAACTCCTGATGGCAATATCTTTCTCTTTAGCTGCTAAGTGCTCCACAATGTTCCCTTGCTAGCTTCTAATTTAAGAGCACAGGTGGCTCCTGCGTCTCGAAACGACGCAGACAGGAGAGGTGACAGCGAACCACCACAGTTGAGGGTTGCTTTAATCTTTTTAATATTTTTATTCAATCGTAGGTTTATTTAATGCTAACATGGAATGTAAACACACTATACTCACATACATAAGACATAAATGTACTATCACAGTTTCACATATTTAGGCTTTGTTTTAATAAATGATAGTCTTGTGTAATCTCAACAGGATTAGCTATGTTTAAGTAATGTCAATGTTGCATTGACATGTCAATGCAATCTAGTGTCTTCTCCATGGTGTTGATCTGTTATTAGGGGAGACTGGGGAAGGTCGCAGCAAATCTAACTTCTTCAATCAGAAACACGCTAGACTGATGACACTCTTACTGCATATGCTCACTTAGCCCCTCCCCCTGCCAGGAACATCTGCTGCTGCATTTGCATTTTGGGGATGTGAAAGTATTTTTTTCTCCTGACATTCTGTATGAATTACTCAAAAATACTTAGTCTGAATCATTGTTTTGTTGATTTCTAAGTCACATGGTTCGCTAGTGTCAAGCAGCACATGATGTTCTGTCGTGGCTGATAGGGTAGTTGCAACAAGTTACAGGAACAAGTTAAACAGCCAGATCAGAACAGAACACACCAGTATGTTTCAACTTTTTTAGTTCAAAATAGTAAATATATGCAGTTCATTTTGTCCCATATCACAACAGACGCAACAATAATTGCTCATTTTAATGTGTAAGAGAATACAAACCATATATATTCTGGGAATTATTTCATCAGCCTCTCATAGTCTTATAATATTTTTTTTGCCTATTCTGATCATCAAATCAATAAAATAAATAAATATTGTTGTAAAATAATGCATATTTTCAGCACATTTGCATATTGATACTGGCTCAACTGTCCAGTATCAGATTTTCAATTAAAGACTAATATTCACATGAAGCTATTTAAAATTCAGAATAAAATTATGATTCACATTCCTTTACATCTGCTAATAAATCAGTAGTTAAGGGTATTTATAGTTGTGTGATTCTTGTAGCCACTGCAAATATCACTGATGACAGTGTTTGGATGTAAATTAGATCAGAGTCAAAGAATACTAACGATGCCTTGATCAGTGGAAGCACTGACAATTAATGACCTGACGTTTCATTAGAGCTGCTTACGCTCCCATTACTAAATGACAGCTTGGAAATGTGAATTATTCAAATTCAACATGGATACTCTGAGATTGCAGGAGGTGTTAACATCAATTTACAATGTATGCGAGAGGAAAAAAGTGGAAGGGATAAGAAAAAGTGACGGATTTCAGTTTCATTTCAGTGGAAAAACGTTGAAATGATTTAACTTTAGTAAGAATCAGAGAGTAGGCAGCACACACACACACACACACACACACACAGAGAGACACGCAGTTCGACCAGTCTGCATGTATTTCCCACTCTAGCATTGCAGTGACCTTTTCAGATGTCTGAATCCTTGTGTCTTGTCTCCTCCCTATCACCTCTTGTCTTAGTCAACACTTCACATTTCACAAACCTTTCCATAACATTAACCTGCTTTAAACCCACACAAACTTTCACCGTTTCACTCCTTCCATTATTTTTTTTTTTCTCTTTAATTCAGCTATTTTCCCTCAAATCAGACATGTAAATCAAAAGAACCTCTTCCCCCCGGAGACCTGCAAAAGGAGCAACTTGTACAATCTGGAGTGCAACGTTGAGATAATATTTAATAATCTACATCCACATGTCATTAATTGAACCTAACTGAATTATTTTCTGAGTCATACATTATCTTCAAAAATCTGTTTTCGCAAAGCCAGTACATATTAGAGCTGCGTTTAATCACATTTGAGAGCAGCAGTAATCACATCACGCAAACGAGTTTAACTGGCAGCACTATAAACCTCGGCTGTTCAAATCCTATTAATATGAGATACGAATTCACCATGAAAAATCTGTGATCTTAAACAATTCAAACAACTTTTTTCAAACACACACTGCTCCTCTCTCTCTCTCTCTTTCTCCATCAACCTTTGTTTTTTTTCCCTTTGCAATCCATACATCTTTCTCCTGCATCACAACTAAAACCCAGCAGCCAATCTATCATGGAAGCACGCCACCAGACGGCACTCAAACTCCCTGTGAATTCATAACACCCCATTAAACAGCCCACCCTCTGACAATTCTGTAAGAGTAAATTCACTCAGCCAGAAACCAGCTGCACAGTGCGAGAGGAAAAATCAATATTCATTAACTGTCAGCTTGTGCCCCTTACCACAACTACAGTGTCTGACAGATTTATAAGATGAAATTGTTTCAAGAGATTTGCTGTTTCGTTTTTAGAGTGGAATTACTGTTTTTAATGACAGTGAACAAAAGGGAATTAAAAAAAAAAAAAACTGAAAGACAGACTTTTGTTTTGGCAAAAGACACATGCAGCTCACTGCCTTGGTGTTAGAGATGCAGTGAACTGACAAAAACAAGGATACAGGTTCAGTCTCCTGACCAGACTGCAATGGTCCTCATTGACTCTGGGGTCTCCAAAAGACAGAAAAAAACAAAACAGTGTTGAGAATTAGCTGCTCCGGCAGCCTGGAGATTTACTAGGCCAATGAGGATATGAGGCTTGAGGCTCTAAGGCTGGGTCATATTAAATACTAAAAATAAGAGCATTAAGAAACTCTCTGCTGACAGAGTAAGATAATGGCAGGATTTTCTATAATTTAATTCACTGAACATGATCCTTGCACAGAATATATAATGGAGTCATACCACTTTCATCTTTTCATAAACAGTAAAATGTACAATAGCAAAAGGTATGACAAAAGAATAGTGTCTTTAAAGACAAAGGTCACAACTCCAGATGAATATGATGCTTAGGAAATTAAAAGTGCCTTTTTTGACTATCTGCAGTGCTATAGAGCAATGATTTGTTTCTATTCCATGCTTTAATAATATGCACAAGAGGACATACATGTATGTGTTTTATATTATTTTACTTAAAGACAGCTGGTGGTGATAACACCAGCTGAAGATTTTGTGATGTCCCTCACTTGCAAGTCACTTTGGATAAAAGCATCTGCCAAATGAGTAAATGCAAATGGAAACTGCAAAAAAAGAAAATAAAAAAAAAATGACCAATTCTCCAGCAAAATGCAGGAAAGAAGAAGATGGCTAGCCAGTAACATCAATGTAAATGATGCAGGTTTCAAAATAGTTAACAGTGAGCTAGCTTGCTTCCCTCATAATTCAATTTGCTGTAACTGTTTGGGTGTGATACTCTCAGATTTGGACATCATTCCTATTGGATAAATAGTACTCACCAAGTTCATTGGTTAATTAGTTGGTGAAACACAAGCAGTCAGATGATCATTTTTGAACCAAATTAACCAAACTCGCACATTTGGAGAAGAAACTGAAGCCAAAATTTGTGTTTGCACCCACTGGAATCACTGTAATGATGTTTCTCTCTCTTCAGTACCATATAATCAGCTTTATAGAAATGATGCCATTCATCTAGTGAGCTGGAAAACAGTGCATGAATTGTAATAAAGTTACAAGTAGCTGTCGACTAGCTACTACCTAACTATCTATGCAAAACCTTCTATTAATGTCACCCCTATGTTTTCCTTTTTAAAATTTTTTTTATTCCCTCTTTTACCTCATTTAATTGTCAGGTGTTTATTCGTTTTCATACTGTCTACCTTTATTGGCCTGATTTCAATCACAGTGTTGATAATAATAATAATCATAATAATAATACAGTTTTTCTGGTTCAGCATGACAGGCATTCAGCTGATATTGGATGAATGGTTAGAAATCAAGTTCTGCTTCATCACTTGTGGGGGCGAGAAAATGAACCGCAAAAAATGTGACTAGAGGTGCACAAAGAAATCTGATGTTGAGCTGCTGTGAGGAAAACTACTGCACTGCATGGATCAATAACCTCAATATCCTCCTCTATGCATTAGGGCTATTTATATGAAGGGGAAAACACAGCCTATAGCTAGACCAAGGCAATGAAACTGCAAATATGAGAGGTGTGTTGCTGCTTGGTGTATGGTGGTGGAGTTTTTTGTCTTAATGTGTTTACACTTGCTTTCTGTTGCTCCCATCTGCTCAGCAGTGAGTGTGTGCAAGTGTGCATGTGTGAGTGTATGTGTCTGTGTGTGTGTGTGTGTGTGTGTTTGTGTGTGTGTGTGTGTGTGTGTGTGTGTATGAAGAAGTGGCTAGTGTGAGCTCCATGGGGAAGTGAGCAAGGAAGCTGGAGGTCAGGGTATACAAGATGAATCTGCTCTGTTCAAAGGTCCTCTCTAGAGGGCAAACAGAGAAATGGAGAATTTGATCGGTGTTTCTGA